GTGTTCGCACTCTCATTTGGGTCTCAGCATGTGAGGCATTTGTTTGGTTGGTGTCGGCTCAGTTTTGGGAAAACTTCGCCGAGGTGGAGAATTGTGGAGAAGAATTGGAAAAAACAGATTTTTGGTCATAAGTCGACTCATGCACAGGCATAAGTCGACTTATGGTAAGTCGACTTATGTTGGTGCATGAGTCGACTTACGTTCTGCTCTGGATTGTTGGTTTTTTGCTCTGCCAAGTCGACTTATCAGGTCTGATAAGTCGACTTATGATCTCTTCTCCAGTTGCTGTTTTTCGCTCTGCCAAGTCGACTTATGCAGACTGATAAGTCGACTTATGACGGGTTTTTTGGAAAGTTCAGGTTCCTATTTGCAGTCTGTTTGGGTTTCTGTTTTGGTATAAATACCAATACGATTTGAGGGTTTTGTGAGGAGAGTTTTGGGGTTTTGGAGCACAGAAAAAGAGAGATCTTTCTGAGCTATTTGTTAGGGTTATTGGTTGAGAGATTGAGAGATTTGTTGGTGAGATTAGTTGGTTCGTTTGAGCGATTTGTAATCTCAATTTGTACTCTCCTTCTCTATTAGTGAAAACCCACCCCCTTCTTGCCCCGTGGACGTAGGCAATTTGCCGAACCACGTAAAACCTTGGTGTTTGTGTTTTGTTTGGTCTTTCTCTCGGCGTTCGTTGGTTTGGTTTCTCAAAGCATCAGTCACAACACAACATTGACACTCCTGTTTAATAAAAGTATACTATTTCTTAAATACTCTGGAGGTGTGTAAGCAAGATTTGTGCCATAGCTTTTCCCAATCTCTGCTGTTTTTCATAAGACCAAAACATGAAAGACGCGGATCACCATCCTGCAAAAAAGACAAGCAGATATAGATTCAGAAATCTCAGCCCTTGCGGCGTGGACCAGATATACTATCCAAAATATAATACACCTAATCTTATGTGACCAAAAGTACAATAGGTTTTATACAATAAAACAGAAGAGAATGGACAATTACTCGAAAGAACAATTTCTAAGCCTTGTTTAATTATTTTATAGCCTAATCATTAAGAAACCCATGATGAGGTCAGGTACTAAAATCTCTTTATAGTTGGTGCATTAAAGTGCAAATAGTAACTAGTACTAAAACATGTTTGATCTAGAGTGAAACTAATGGAGATAGTATCTTTATACAAGACCTGTTCCAAGAATCTGTCAGGACAATATGTTACAAAGCCTTCTTTTGATCTAAAGTGGAAATAATGGACATAGTCTCTTTGTAAGCCTTGGATCTAAAGTGCAGATATGGTGATCTAAAGTGAAAATAGGAATTGGTACTAAAACCTGTAACATGAACTAATGTGGATAAAACGGACAATATGTTCTAAGCAAATGGCTTCAAAGATCATTTAATTAAACAATATCACTAACAGAGCTTTTCTTTTAGTTAATAACTCACTCTTTTTAGCGCAATGCAAAAACAATTTCCTACGGTGATTAAGATTGTCTGTATTAGAAACATCTCTTCATCTCTATTACTGTGGGCTAATACCATAATCAAATCTCTTACTGACCTTTAGTGTCTGTGCAGTGTGCATAAGTGAAATAGGACAGTAGTTTAATGGTGCTGTTGGCGTGTGCTTACAGATAAGTTCTTTTAATGGAATATCTTTTCCAAATGCTCTTTTAATAGAATATCTTTTTCAAACGCTCTTCTTGAGAGGACTTTATAGAATTGTGAGGTATAGTAATTTCAAAACAAGTACTTATCAAAAACGATTAATGTTTAGTTCGAGGGAGGAAGGGACGGGGGTGGGGGATGGGATTAATAAAATTTATTAGCAAAGAGAAAATTTAGTCAGAAACCAGATAGGATGAACAATAAATAATGTGTGGAGAGAAAACGGGAGAAGATGGCTTAAGCGGTTGAGAGAAGCCAGAAGACTTGGCTCATATGGAAATTGGTGAGTAGATTTCCTCAACTCTTCTGCAAGATGTCAGAGGAAGAAAAAAAAAATATTGCATGACCTTACAGTCCATCTTCAAATATCATATCCTAGGTGGAATAACTAACAGAACTTATCAAATACAATCTGTTTTTAAACCTCACTATAGCCAGCCAAATTCCTGGGATAACTGTAAACTTCATCAAAGCTTAACACTTTCAAAATCATCTGAACAAAACGTCTTCTTCCAGAGGAACGCTTGTATAGTCTAGTAATGGGGTTTCATGGGAATGTCTTGCCCATGGGTTGCGTGTGGGTTTGGTATTTAAAATTATGGTATGGAATCCTTATCATATGATGCTTTTGCTCCTATGATTGATGACTTGAATCAGCTCATTGCTTATAGGAAAGGAGTTAGGGGGTGCACTAGTCATCCCATTGAGAAGTACGTAGCCTATGGAAAATTGCTTCCTCCATACAGAGCTTTTGTTTCAACTCTTGACAACGTGCAGATGCCTAATTCAATACAAGAAGCTCTAAGAATTCCAGCATGGAAGAAGGCAGTGGAAGAGGAGATTCAGGCTCTAGAAAGGAACAATACATGGACTCTAGTTAAACTACCACAGGGCAAGAATCCAGTTGGCTGTAAGTGGATATTCACAGTGAAATACAAGGTAGATGGTAGTGTTGAAAGATTCAAAGCTAGACTTGTAGCCAAGGGCTTCACACAATCATATGGGATTGACTACCAGGAGACATTTGCTCCGGTTGCCAAACTCAACACAGTTAGAATTTTACTCTCTCTTGCAGTGAATCAAGATTGGCCTCTATACCAACTTGATGTAAAGAATGCCTTTCTTAATGGAGATCTAGAAGAAGAAGTCTATATGATTATTCCGTCAGGAATGGAAACCAGTTCAAACAACAGGTTAGTGTGCAAGCTGAAGAAGTTCTTGTATGGTTTGAAGCAGTCTCCACGAGCTTGGTTTGATAGGTTTGCTAAGACAATGACTGTTAATGGGTATCACCAGTGTCAGGCTGATCACACTTTGTTCATCAAACGCAATCCAGGAGGAAAGATTGCTATTCTTATAGTATATGTTGATGACATCACCATGATAGGAGATGATTCAGAGGAAATTGTCAATCTCAAAACTATGTTGGCTACAGAGTTTGAAATCAAGGACCTTGGGACCCTAAGGTATTTTCTAGGCATGGAAGTGGCTCGGTCTAAAGAAGGAATTGTCATATCCCAAAGAAAATACATCCTAGATTTACTAAGTGAAACAGGTCTACTTGGATGTAAACCTGCAGACACACCTATGGATCCTAATAAGAAGCTGAATAGGAGTAAAGACATCAGTCCCGTGAATAAAGGAAGATACCAAAGACTTGTTGGTAAGCTTATCTATCTGTCTCATACTAGACCTGATATTGCATACTCAGTCAGTGTAGTAAGCCAACATATGAATGATCCAAATGAGGACCATATGGAAGCAGTAAATCGAATCTTGAGGTACCTGAAGATGACTCCAGGGCATGGTCTACTATTCAGAAAGTCTAAAAAACGAGAAGTAGAAATATACACTGATGCTAGCTGGGCAGGAGAATTAACAGACAGAAGATCAACTACTGGTTATTGCTCATATGTCTGGGGTAAGCCGTTATCTCTCGTAGTAGTGCAGAGTCAGAGTATCGTGCTTTGGCATTGGGAATATGTGAAGGAATGTCGCTTCAAAGGCTTTTAAGAGAACTCAAGGTTCAAATACAGAATGCAGTGAAGATGCTTAGTGACAGCCAAGCTGCTATTAGCATAGCCAAAAATCATGTTCATCATGATAGGACAAAACATATTGAGATCGACAAACACTTCATCTCAGAGAAGATTAACAATGGGATTGTTCAACTCAGTTATATTCCAACAAGACAGCAGATTGCTGATGTTCTCACCAAAGCACTTCCAAGAGCTATTTTTGATGAATTGAACTCCAAGTTTGGTTTGTATAACATATACAACCCAGCTTGAGGGGGAGTGTAGAAAAGATTAGATTTAGTTTCTGTTTTAGAAGAGATTAGATTTAGATTCTGTTTTAGAAAAGATTTGATTTAATTTCTGTTTTCCAGTTTTAGTTAGGATCCCTTATTTGAAGGAATTTTGTTTCCTTATTTAGTGGACTGGAATGTCGGCCACATCTTATATATATTAGGCTGTAAATATTTGATTGATAAGAAAAAAGAAACTCAGTTTTTCTTCAACTGGAGTAGTCAAAAAGTCGTCATCTTCGAGAAGAAGAGCTTAGCGGTGACAGTACTGCCCTAAGAGGAGCTCACGGTGAAAGAGATGAGAGGAAGTATCAAGGTAGGTACCAGAGGCTATGAGAGGTGACGGGAGTATGCTGAAAATCACAGGAGATGGTGGAATGCAATGGTCAAGGGTTGAGTTTAATTTTAAAAAAATAAGCCTCAAACCGCTTTTAAATAGCAGTCAAAAAGCAAATTTCGAATGCAATCACTCACTATTTACCGTTATGACACTATTGACCGCTTTTATGAACAGACATATTCCGCAATATGTCACCGCTATTGCGCGATAGCGTAGCGGGCGATAGCGTCGCGGGAAGGGACCGCTAACGCTATTAACGCCGCTATTGCGGGGCTATTTACCGCTATTTATAACAGTGGTTTCCATGAAAGTGCTAAGTGATGGATCCAATATATAAGCATTAAAACATGCTACTGCTTCATGTTGGGGGCAAAGTAGTGAAGAAGATTTTCTGAAGGCTAACACCAAATAATTGGGACAAGTTCTTGATGGTTGTGGACATGACCGTCAACAAGTCAACAAATAATTCTCAAGAACTAAAAGGGATGACATCCCTGAAGGACCAAGCCTTATAGTGATTGCAGAATTAATTATAACCCGTGAAGTCTTGCACCCATCCTGGTAACGATTCTTCTAGCAAAAATGATTGTGTAACTTCCTAAGTTAACATATTACCATTTTCTTAGCTTATTAGTTACTGAAAAAGTGTAAGTGAATCAAATTTAAGAGTATAATAGCATATTGCTAAGATGAAGTACTCACAGGAATGCTAGGATCAAGCCTCGCTCCACCAATTAATGTTCCATTTTGAAAGTTGTATGGATAGACATCTTTCCCATACTTGTGAGTGCGGTCACTTTCCCATGAAATGTTCTTCCTCTTCACATTCATTTCTACAGTTTTACGAACAAAAGTGTAGGTATCATTGAACAAGCTCCATGCAATCAACCCACAAGGGACTATTGGAAGGTCATTGCTATACTCTTCAGGTTGGCACGTACTAGTGTCCTTTTGATCCAATCCACGAACAAGCTGCTTATCATTTTTACTCTTTATATACCTGGACAGCATTGCAGACATTAAATATGCCCAGAAACTCAAATTTGTCTTTTTTAATTCAAGACAGCGCAACTACATAAAACTTTCAAATAAATAATCTAACTAGTTAGACAAGCAAAATGGAAGATAAAGAATATAACTCCAATGGTTCTGGTAGTAATTGTCAAGTTCATAATATATGTAGATTGGTGCTTTCATATGACTCTGAACCTGAAGTAACATCATAGAACCCATGTAAGTACTGTCAAATGACTAACTTGAAAAAAAAAACACCAAACTTCTGAAGGAAAATTACACTGCAGATAGTTACATATAGTGAAAGCAACAAGATCCACAGAAATTTAAAAATCAAACAAACAAGGTATCATAGTAGATTAGAAAATGACGCATAGCTCATATGTAGGTTGTCTACAAACCGTGAGGTCATCGTGCATCATAGAAGCATATTGAAAATCAAAAGTAATAATTCTATTGTTGGCAGTTTTGGTCATAACTATGACCACAAACAGAAAGCAAAAGCAAGTGAGATCAACTTCTTTGAATTGTTGAGTATAAAATCTGGAAGCATGCTTCACCCACCTAAGATACAAAGTAGCTATCAACTAAAAACTGCACTACCTATAGATGTGCATTCCAAGCTATTGACAATTCATCGAATGTAATACTAGTAAGTTGAGAAAACCAAATCTGCTGAAACGTGAATAGATATCTAGGTGAAGGATCATTGAAGTTATATGCATTTAGTTGGCTGCCTGACATCAATAGGGTTAAAAAGCGGGCTTCGTTATGTATGTCTTCATGTCAGTCATCAGGTTGGATTGCAAGGAAACAGATTTGGGTAAATTGAGGAACAGCAGCACCAATATAACCAAATAACAAACTCACAAACATACTACAAAGTTGAAAATTGAACTACTCATTCCCAGTGAAACCATCTAGAAGTTAAGGAAAAAAACAATAGCGACTAAGTTAAGATATTTGAATAAATTGATCAAAGGAAAATGGTTGAAAGGACAACGTGGACAGAATATTAATTACACAAAAGACAAATCTACTCCAGGAGGACTACTAGATTGCATATTAGTTAAAGAACACAAGTACTGATCGATGAAATGGGGGAACTGTTTAGCCTTAATGGATGATTTGAAATAAAGAATCTAAAACTTGAGATAGTAGGACCTAGCATGTGAAATCCAATTTACATAGAAAGATAAATGGGTGATTCTTAGTCAAAGCAAATGGCCATGAGAAGCTCATGCAGTGGATTTACTAACTAGCAAAAAGAGATGTAGATGAAAAATCTTATGACATAAATAAAACACAGGTAAAGTGGAAGGAAAAGGAAGAAGAGGCATACCATTGACGCTTTATAGAATGAAAAGTTAAGGGCAATTTTTGCGAAAACAGAGTGGAAAAAACTAAAAATAGATACTTCTAAGACAAGACACAGAACAATTCAGAGAGAGGGAACAAGCGATGGAAAAGAGCTAAGATAATAGTAGAATGCATGTTATACATGTAAGGAGATCCATCTATAAACTGACAATTCAGTTTATCCAAGGTATATGGAAAATCTATAAAAGCAAATATTATAGCTTGGTTAGACCAGAAAAGTGAACAAGATTACACAAGAAGGTTATATGCTCACTTAAGCTTGTCTGCCAGTGTAATAAATGTCATAATAGAAGGAATAACTACCTTTACTTGTTTCACAAAAACAACAACGCCCTTATAAGTAAGTTTCATGAGACATACTACTATACTAGAAAACTCAAGTATCTACTACTCTGTAGAACTGTTTTTTATATATGTAAAGCTTAGATATCCCCAAATTCTGATGAATTAAAAAATGAAAACACGTGACAGGTAGAATTTCATTTTTTTCTCTTTCTTGAATTTAATTTATCAAAAAAAAGTAAAAATTAAATCCACATTTTCATGACATGAGTTGCGCCAGTTTGCACCTGGTTTCTCACAATTGACATGTGAAATATATGTTCATTAAACTGGCTCCATAGCAGTAGAGAGTACTATGAGTACCATTTGTGGTGAGGTATTGCGATAAATTCCTGAACACCATTTTGTTAGATCCTCCTTCAGTAAATCGGTTGTATGGGGTACCAAACCTCATTGCCAGTTTATAAGGAAAAGAGCCGGTTGATATTTTTATATTCAGTTCGGAGCTTCTTAGGAATGACACTTTGATTATTGTTGTTGTGATGCCTTCAAACAGGTAGTTTTACTAGTTTTGTTCATAGCTAATTTAACCATCAGCTCCTCTGTTAAATATGTCACTAACAAAAAGAGTTACCACATTAATCTGTAGATTAACAGTAATATTGATCCTTATATAACCTCTGCTGAAAACTTCTTGAAAACCTCTATCTGGACATTGAATTTAGATCCTGGAAGACACTTCCATGATACTTTGAGCCAGATCTGTGGTATGCCTGACAGAAACCTACTTTGTTGAATAAGGTTTCTATTTATTTATTTTTTTATATGAATCATTTGTTTAAGTTAATCATTTACTACAGAGATGGAGAGGTGAACGCACATGGACGTGAAAATATCCATAGTGTGTAGTCATGCCCCAAGGATGGGATCCCACAAGTTCCTGCATGAGAGACTTCAGGACATCCAGATTAAGACAGATCTCCTTATCGACAATGTATTAATGATACTCAGAGACTAATATGTGTCTGCGTAACACCAAGTAACCAGTTGAAATGGATTGACTATACACATCAAGCGCCACATATATAGTAACGGATGTTAAATGGGTAGCCAAACAATATAGACAAAACAAATCATCAACGACACCATTTTAGACCTTTTCTTTAACCAAAAGGGTTCATACATGGAACATGAATTAAAGACAATAAACTCAATGCAAAAGAGATTGCAATCTGAAGGATGTATTTACCCTTATTGTCCGAGAGCAATTCTTCGAAATCGAACTGTCCTTGATATAAGCTAATTTATTACTTCGATACACTTCAGGTATACACTCATTATCATAGCGATCTACAATTTCTACAACCTGTAAAATAATAATGCAAGGGAAATATCAGTATAAATCAGATTAGCTAATACACAAAAGTTAAGGATCAGAGTCTTTCATAAACAGGGTTAAGTGGAGAAATTACACTATCTGATGCATGAAGGCATATAATTCCAACAGGTATAAAAACAACGCCCATCAACAAAAATGTTATTATTACCTGTTAGTCAGCAAACACAAAATGGATTGTTGAAGTTAGGAAAAGATGGAAATGAACTGAGAAATTAACTACGACCATCAACTCACCGATACTGGTGTCAAACTAGGTTTACAAGTGGGCAAACTCTGTTGCGTAAACTTGTAGAAGGCTGAAAAACAAAAAATAAAAAAAAAGTGCAATCAGGAAAGATCAGCAATAATCATTTTTCATATAGTATTAGTTGATCGAAATTTATATCACATGACATAACAAATTGTTGTGAATGATATGCTATTTCCTTCATAATTCTACATTTTTAGATTCATTGATTATGCCAATCAAAAATAAAGTTAACAAGACCAATGGAAAAGAAAATATGACAAGCTACTACCAGATTTGATACACTAGATACATGCAAGGATCAATCACTCAAGCTCAAGTAAAAAACCATCATGTGGTATCAACTTCTAAATGTGGTATCAACTTCTAAATGCATATTAGCTTAAAGTAGCAGACTGCAGCCTATCTCAGATGTCAATTTGCCATGAATGCTCACTGCACTTATAAGCAATGAACTTACCAACATCCATGTATTTCATGTGGATGAGTTAGCTTCTACAATTTCATGCACTTATAAGCAATGAACTTACCAACATCCATGTATTTCATGTGGATGAGTTAGCTTCTACAATTTCAGCCTCACAACAAATAAAACTTCACCAACATCCATGTATTTCATGTGGATGAGTTAGCTTCTACAATTTCAGCCTCACAACAAATAAAACTTCATAGTTCCACCAATAAGAGCACTTAACTTTGATCATCAGCTGCAGTTCATAAAAGTTATGAGGGTGTTGGATACCATATCATACAGCATTCTGACTAATCATAAAAGGTTTTCTTTCCTTTCCTTATTTTTTCCAGTTCCACATGTTTGTGCCACGCATGATGGTAACATCTCAAAACCATCTTTTGCATGAAGTTTTTTTCCAGTTCCACATGTTTGTGCCACGCATGATGGTAACATCTCAAAACCATCTTTTGCATGAAGTGCTGGATTATACAAAACCAGAACATATATAAGGTGCAGTATGCTTGTGTAAGAAATGATTTAGATGAAGTGCTGGATTATACAAAACCAGAACATATATAAGGTGCAGTATGCTTGTGTAAGAAATGATTTAAAACCGAACCGAACCGACCGTTGCACACCCCTAGTCCCATGCACATGTTTTACTAAACTACGGAACACTAGCGACAATTTGGACTGGAAAGTTATCCTTCATGTCAAGGAAGAAAGCATGAGGGAGACTACTAAATGATGTAGACTGCCTATACGTACTTGTTTATTAGGCATGTCCTGAATTAAGGAAATTATCTGCATCTTTCATGGGTTAAATGATCAAAATGTTAAAAAGCTTAATACCCTTTGCCGAACACCATAATCATTTTTTAATATACAAACAATAAAAAGAGAAGCAGTATGCACAACAACATCAAGGTTTTGCACAACCTGCAGGTGTACCCTTCGATCTATTATTTAAGTACTTCAGCAACATTGACACTCCTGTTTAATAAAAGTATACTATTTCTTAAATACTCTGGACTCTGGAGGTGTGTAAGCAAGATTTGTGCCATAGCTTTTCCCAATCTCTGCTGTTTTTCATAAGACCAAAACATGAAAGACGTGGATCACCATCCTGCAAAAAAGACAAGCAGATATAGATTCAGAAATCTCAGCCCTTGCGGCGTGGACCAGATATACTATCCAAAATATAATACACCTAATCTTATGTGACCAAAAGTACAATAGGTTTTATACAATAAAACAGAAGAGAATGGACAATTACTCGAAAGAACAATTTCTAAGCCTTGTTTAATTATTTTATAGCCTAATCATTAAGAAAACCATGATGAGGTCAGGTACTAAAATCTCTTTATAGTTGGTGCATTAAAGTGCAAATAGTAACTAGTACTAAAACATGTTTGATCTAGAGTGAAACTAATGGAGATAGTATCTTTATACAAGACCTGTTCCAAGAATCTGTCAGGACAATATGTTACAAGCCTTCTTTTGATCTAAAGTGGAAATAATGGACATAGTCTCTTTGTAAGCCTTGGATCTAAAGTGCAGATATGGTGATCTAAAGTGAAAATAGGAATTGGTACTAAAACCTGTAACATGATTACAGGGCTTGCCGCAACCGATATGGGCTTTAAATATCCTTTACCGTTTTTTGGCTATTTTGAGTGATAAATCCCCGATATGACCGATATATTAGCCGATATGTGGATCAATATATCTTTTTATATAACTTGTTGCAAAATAATATACCGTGTTTGGAATTTTTGAGCGAGATATCAAGATTTCCCCATTATATCAAATGTCATTTTGCCCTAAAAAAAGCATATCGAATGTTGCAACGTTGCTTTGCATTTTTGTTTGTTTTAGAAGGTTGATTAGTGATCCTAAACATATATTATTCATATTTTGTATGCTTAAATTTCATTACATATGTTGAGATTACATTTTAATGCATTATACTATGTATGCAAACATTCATTATGGCATTCCGATATTTACCACATATCCCCGATATTTCCCCGATATCCGCAATCCGATATGAATTTTGGTCATCCGATATTTCCCCGATATCCGATATTTAAAACCTTGTTGTGCAGTGTGCATAAGTGAAATAGGACAGTAGTTTAATGGTGTTGTTGGTGTGTGCTTATAGATAAGTTCTTTTAATAGAATTTCTTTTCCAAATGCTCTTTTATATAGAATATCTTTTCCAAACGCTCTTCTTCAGAGGACTTTATATAATTGTGAGGTATAGTAATGTCAAAACAAGTACTTATCAAAAACGATTAATGTTTAGTTCGAGGGAGGGAGGGAGGGGGGTGGGGGATGAGATTAATAAAATTTATTAGCAAAGAGAAAATTTAGTCAGAAACCAGATATGATGAACAATAAATAATGTGTGGAGAGAAAATGGGAGAAGATGGCTTAAGCGGTTGAGAGAAGCCAGAAGACTTGGCTCATATGGCAATTGGTGAGTAGATTTCCTCAACTCTTCTGCAAGATGTCAGAGGAAGAAAAAAAATATATTGCATGACCTTACAGTCCATCTTCAAATATCATATCCTAGGTGGAATAACTAACAGAACTTATCAAATACAATCTGTTTTTAAACCTCACTATAGCCAGCCAAATTCCTGGGATAACTGTAAACTTCATCAAAGCTTAACACTTTCAAAATCATCTGAACAAAACGTCGTCTTCCAGAGGAACGCTTGTATAGTCTAGTAATGGGGTTTCATGGGAATGTCTTGCCCATGGGTTGCGTGTGGGTTTGGTATTTAAAATTATTGACATCAGAATTACTCTCATGACAAAAAAATTAAGCTGGAAAGACAGGTAAAGGAGCACAAGTTGCTGACATGAGGTTCATCCTTATGTGTCAGTACTTTTCAAGCCAATTAATCAAATCCACCTTCACTTGTGGGCTTTTGCACCTAGCAAGGTATGCTCTAATCCGTATCTTTTCAATGATAAATGTTAAACAGTAGTGTAAATGCTATAAACCAATAACATGCAAGACAAAATAAGAGGAGGGAACAGGTTCTGAATATCAAGTGAACTCGGTAAGTTCTATTGCTTGAGGTGACTATAACACAATTTACCTCATCAAAGAGAACTCGACAGGCATTAACGTCATGATACAAAGGCCGTCCTTCAGCACTACAATAATCCAAGGCTTCAGCGATATAGTACTACGGCACCCTTAAACGCATAGCTCATTCAATCGTTTGATTTTCCCCTGTCCAAAAAGTTAGCAAAAAAAATCAATAAACGAGCTGAATCAAGCAACATAAATAGCAGATATTTGCAGCAAGATGCAACATCTGCTTCATGACACGTGCTATGAGTAGCCAATGCACATTTTAATTAAAGCAGCGATGCATTGCCTGGTGACAATCATGGAAACTATGTCTCTTATAACAGACACCTGAAAAGTTTCTATAAATAAGAGTATGTTTTGATCATGCAAAATCAAAGGGACAAAAAAACGGAGTTACAATGACTCGCAAAAGAAAAGCCAAGAATCTTGCTCCTAAAAATAAGAAGTTACCATTTCTAGACCAGCCTAATTATGATCCGTCAGCAAATGAACTCCCAAATTAGACCGCCCATAAAATCGAAACCACCCCCCACCCCCAAAAAGAAACCAAAAAAGAAAGAAATTCGTTAAAAATAGAAATTAAGCGCGCACATACAGTGAGACAAATGCTTGCAAAGAGTGTCATTTGGCATGTACTCAGCAACAAGAAGAAGTACTCTCGTCTCCATCACAACAGTACCCGACCAGGCTCGCCAGCCTCCTGTGCCTCAATTTCCCAACTCCCCAAGCCTCATCCTAAAAAGCCCAATCAACCAAATTAAATTTAAGCAACAAAGCAACCAATTAAAATAAAACAACAAAAGAGAGAGAGAGAGAGAGAGAGAGAGAGAGAGAGAGAGAGAGAACTTGAGAGGAAAAGAGAATCTCACAGCGAACTGCTTAGGATCGGGATCGGGCCAAGCCAATCTCACAGCGAACGTGGTCAGTTACTGTCAGTAACCGCTGGTGCAACTCCCCCCGCTCATAATGCCCACCCCCTTCCCTCCCTCTCTCTTTTCGAATCCTCCTCCATCCGTTTGAAAAAAAAACGAAACAAAACAAAAAAATCCACCACGATGAACAACGCCAACACCAAATCCCCAACTCCAAGACCTCCTTCGCTGTCAACAACCCTACATTAACACAAATCGAACTCGGACCCCAACCCGACTCCGACACCATCGCCTTCAACGTCCTCAAACCCCGACAGCGAAGAAAACCCGACCCGATAACAACACCGGGCACCATCCCTCCGTGCACCGGAGTGCCCAAGCGGTTCTCGTCATGGAAAGCCCTCTTCGGCCACATGCGCTGCCACCCGGGCCGAGCGCCAGTGGCGTGGGATCACCCCCCCGGCCCGTTTCCAGCGAAGCCCGGTCCTCGCCGCGGCGGCCCAGTTCACACAGCGAGGAGTACGAGTGGCATCCAGCTTGTTGCTGCCTGTCGAACGGGCCGACGACGAGGGACTACCGCAAGCCCGTCGGCCGATGAAGGCAGTCTGCGACCACGGCGGCAGCAGCCCGCCACACTTGCGAAGTCGACCTGAGGTGTTTTCCGAGCGGGCAGCAGCG